AGCAAAGAAGGAGTTGGGAAGATGTGGCAGGTTCTATTCCCAGCAACAGGAAACTCCATGATTATACTGGATTGAGATGTGTTAAGTATCTGGTCTTATGAGCACATCATTAAAGGCTGCTACACATCGCTACAGTTAATTACAATTGCTGAGGTCAACTCAATTAATGTTGAAAAACCATAACACCAAAAAAAAAACGGGAGAAGGGGGCGTGGCTAATGAATGCCCTGGAGCTTTGGGCTGTTGGCTCCCAGTCCTGCAGCAAGGGAGCAGCATAAAGCTGGTCACCCAGTGTGTGGGTGTGTGAGGAGGGGGTAAATCTGTCCAGTCCCTGTTTCAGCTCACTTTTCACTTCAATGTATTTCCAACACCACCATGAGGAATGAGCCACATGGCAGGGGTTAGGGCTTGGGTCCAGCCCTGCCCTGGGCACTCAGCAGCAGGAAGGGACAAACCACTGAGGCAACAATCGGGTTATAGATATGTATGATAATCTGCCATTTACCAAACATTTAACGGATTGTCCGGCCCATGAGAAAAGGCCAAAGTGCCTTTTATTCTCTCGGAGAACATGTGGATTTCCCCCCCCCCCAAGCTCAGCAGAGGTTTTTCTTTGGAACATGAGCTGAAAGTTCAATAGTTTAACATGGAGTTGTTCTGTGGTGCTGGGGGAGGGGGGTGTTGTTACGCTCTCAAGGGTCTGAGTCTCCTGCTCCAAGCCATGATGTGACATTTGCTGCTAAAAGAAGCTGTGGGAACCACCCCATCCCACCCAAACTGAGGCCATGTGAGAGATACCCCTTGGCCACAGGGACCCTGAGCCATCCCCAAAATCACACTCCAAAGCCCTCAAGATGTGCTAGGGCCCTGAGCGCCCTTCTGAGCCTCTATGTCCCTGAGGATCCTCAGCTGGGACCCACACCCATAAGCCCAGGGCCGCAGTACGGAGGAGGATGCTGATCTTTAGACCAGCCATGTCTCCTCAGTTGTCCCTGGCCCCATATTAGTCTCCTGGATGGATTGTCGGCCCGTACTTGTCTACTGGCTGGGGTCCCCACCCCCAAGGTGTAACCCCACCTCTGTCCCATCTCCTTTTGCACCTGAATTAACTCCTGGGAGGACCCTAGACCTCCTTCACTGTTTGTCACATCTGGGAGTGTTGCTGGACCCTTGTTAGCTGGCTCTGCACACCATGGCCACCCCTATGGGATGGTGCCCCAATGGCAAGAGTGACACAGAGTAACTTCCCGCCCCTACCCAACAAAAGACATGGCTGAGCAGAGGGCTTGCTCCTACCTGTGTCCAGCAGGAGCTTTGCAATTGGGAAGTTGGAGTGGGAAACGCTGTAGTGAAGAGCTGTGTTGCCATTCCTGTCAGCCAGGTTCACCAGCATGGCCAGCAGCTGGGGCTGGATGCTCCCCAGCGCCTCCAGATACGCTGCAACCACCTCTGGGCTGGAAGTCTTGTGGCTGGACACCCGGAACCACTCCTGGCAGACACTGCTCAGGACGTGCCGCTGGAAACACCAAGGTCTCACTGTTACTCCTGGGGTAGTCACCCTGCAAACAGTTCACCCCCCAGCTCCTTGTCCCATGCCCGTTTCCCAAGCTCTGCCATCACCCAGCCAGTATTTAGCCTGTGGTTTTGGGATTACTGCTGTAATTGAAGGAGGAAAGGAATTTCCTGTGGTAACTTGAATGAGTAAGCAAAGAAAGACTTTTTTTTTTTTTTTTTTTTTTTTTTTCTCCTTTTCCTTTCTTTTTGGCTAGTTTAAAACTGACTCAGAAGTCATCTGGTCCCCCTCCCTCCCATCAAAAGGCTTTCCATGGCACATGACCTGCAATGCACCATCAGGACAATCTTATTCATGAATTATAACAGAGAGTGGGAACCGCGTCTGAAAGGGGATTGAAAAACATCTGTACCAGATGCTTGTCGCTTGTGGTCCTGATTTCCGAGAGGTGCTCGCTGAGGAGCTGGCAGGCAGCGAGGAAATCTTCAGAGGGTTTGCATCTAAAAGGAAAAAGGAAAATACTTTTGTGAATCCATCATGGGACAGAACATGCAGGAGGTTTTGAAGGAGAATGTGCACGTTAGGTCAGAATTCAACACTTATTAAGGGCTTAATTTTATGGACACAAGTTGTCCCACTGACTTGGCACAGATTATAGGTACAATGTTAAGCACTTAAAGAAGTGTTAAAATCCAGCTCTGTAAGGTCACCTTAATCTTTTACAAGAATTTTTAAAGTGGAATAAAAAATCATCATCTTATTCATGAATCTGCAAAGAACTTCACGTATTAACTTTACTTGGGAGGGGTGAAATGAGCTAACTCTGAGCAAATATGACTCACTCAGCTTTTCCAGAGTCAAGTGTACGGCCTGAATAATCCCCAATAGATACTGTAGTAACTCAGAAAAATATTTAGCTCTTTAAAGCCTTTTCTTGTGTCTACAGAGGTCAGAGCAGGTGAAGCCCTGCAGGAGCTACCAAACATAGCACTACATGTCCCATGGCATCAGAAATGTGATGGGAAGCACAATCACGCTCTGGTTTTCTGGGTACCTGTCAGCCTTGTGCTCAGTGCAAGGTGCTGCTTCTGTCGATGGCTCCTGTGGGTCATCATCGTCATGTGTCTCCTGTGAGGAGGTTCCTGATGAAGCCTCCTTGCTTTCAGCTCCAGCCTTTCCCTGTGTAGGCTCCAACTCATCAGCTCTTCTCTCAGTGTCGCTCTCCACATCCCCATCTGATGGGCTGTCTTCACAACTTGTGTCTTCACTTGAAGTCGTCTCATAGCTATTTGAGGACACCACACGTTACTCACTCCTTCCCCATCTGCAGGGCCTGACCAAGGTGCATTGAAGACACCCATGGACTCCAATGGGCCTTGGGTGAAGCCCGGAGTGATGAGCAAGTTAGACGGTTAGAGCCACAGCCAAACTTGGGGTTAGTCTTTTTTTAGCTTCTTAAGCCAGCAGGAGCGTGATGGAAGCGGTTAATTAGCAGCAGGCAAGGTTACTTCAAGGACTACTCTGTTGGTTTGGTGGGATGTCCATGGCACAAGCCCAGCATGGGCAGGTGGGGAGTTGCAAGAAGCACTGACCCCGTGGTGAGGTGGGACAGGCAGCACTATGACAACCTTGAAGACCAACAGACAAAAAAACCATGTTGGCAGCTCCAGCATGGACTTGAGTCCATTAGAGCAGCTCTGCTAGAGAGAGAGAGAAACCTCTCGTTGTCCAAGACTATTAATAACATCTTCCATGAGACAGACCATTTCACCCTGAGGGATCTCAAAACTTCTCAAAATAGTCACAATTCCTTTACTTGCTACTAGTTGTCCCCATTTCAGCAACTGTTGGTAGAAGCTCCACACAACAAGAATGAGCAACACCTGATGAACCCAACAGCAGCAGCCAGAGAGCTGGGAAGTCAGAGAAGCGTATGTCAGCAGAAACCAGCATCCAAACTAGCACACCCAGCTGTTTGCCCAGCAAAGGGACAGTGACATGTGACCTGCCCTCTTCATGCCAGCACACATACTCCTCAGTAGAAGATGTGCCAGTGCTGCTTGAGAGATACATCTACTAAACACGTTGTTTTACCTAGTGATCTCAAAGGCCAAAGAGCCTTAGATACTCGATATACAGGGAACTTGGTGTTGGAGCACAACCTAAACCACAGGTCTCCTTCACCTCGAGGTAACTCTTTATTGACTGAAATAGCCCTTTCTCAGTCCCTCAACCAGCTTCTGTTGGCCATCACCAGAGCGTGGAGGCCAGTTAGTGGCAGCATGCCCACCCAGACCATGCTGACCTCCTCCAAAACCCACCAAAGTTAGTGGGAATCTTCCCATGGACCCAGCTGGGTTTTGGATGAAGCCCCAGAAGATGGATGTGCAGAGAGTGTCAGTCCCCAGCGTGTCCCTCGCTGCGCTGGACACACCAACACCTTTTCCTACAGGGTTACTTACAGGTTACCAGTGCTGGATTAAAGAAGGGAGAAAAGAAGCTCGATTGCAAATGGCATTTTAGTTGGGAAGTTTGGAGGGGAAAAGAGGGAATAAAAAGAATGACTTCTTCAGTGATACAGAGAACATCACAAGTTAAAAGGCAGCTTTATCTCCTGAATAGATGCTTACCCACCATTTACCCCAACAAACTGCAGATTCTTTTTGGTCCCATTGCCTCCTGCATGGAAACCACAACCTTTCTTTTTCATGATAGATTTAAGACTTGTGGTTGGAGAGATTTCTAGCAAAATACAAAATAATAGATTAATTAAGGAGATGTGCCATAAGTATCAAAAATTAACATAGAATCATAGACTGGTTTCTGTTGGAAGGGACCTTAAAGATCTAGTTCCAACCCCCAATGCATGGGTAGGGACACCTCCCCTTAGACCAGGTTGCTCCAAGCTGTATTACTCCCAACTTCTAGCAGCAAACTTCAAATCATAACCATAAACATCTCACTTCATCTCATGGGATTCTTTTTATGCCTTGTAAAACTACAGACATACCTGACCACAGCCTGAACCTGCCCTGCCACCTTTAAAACATCCCCACGTGACTGGGAATATAAAGGAAGTAACTGGGAATTAGATCTGTGTTCTATTAATATATTAATTTCTTTACTCTTACGTTTTTCAATAATAATGTCTTGGAAATCTCCTGTATGACTCTGCTATAATACTATATGGGTAGGTCTTTACATCAGGGTTTCAACAGTTTCACTATGTGAACAGGCAGCCTTTGGTTTTTGGACTCTCATCTTCCTATCAGCTAAAACGATTTGAGATGAGGGGCTGTGAGTGGGGACAGGCCTTTCCCCAGCTGAGCTGCTCAGCTGGCTTGAATCAGTTTGGGTTTTGGTGACCTCCATGCTCATTTACCCCTGCTGAGCATCTGAGTCCCATATTGCAAACTGTCCACTCCAGTTAAGAAATACAGTGATTTGATAGAATAGCCACTTCTGGAAGCCAATCCTGTGTATAGCTGAGCCAGTTTATCAGCCCTTACATGGTTTAGTTTGCTTTTTTTGTTATTGTTTTGAGATGATATAGTTTATGTTGTGCCTTTCTCACACATTTTTAGGAGGCTATTTCTGATCTGATGATAATCATACCACGGTTTCGTTGTGTCACCCCCTGCTCAACACTTGAATAAAGGGGAAGAAACCTACAGCAATATTATTTACCCAACTGTTGATAGTGTGTGTTTGAGTTTTCCTTATCAGTTGGCCCTTGGGTGGAGTAGGCAGACAGCAATGAGTTTAAGGAATTAACTAGTTGGTTCTGGATGGAGCTGAGCTTGGAGGCTGGCTGCTTGATGGCGCTGGCTAACTCAGGGTAGCTGTGCTCCAGGCACAGCCACTGCTCCTGCAAAAGCTCCTGGATTTTTTTTACATATTGGCCAATGGGGTCAGCAGCAGGGAGATCCTTGTGGTCATGGGGACTTTCCTCTTGCAGCCCTTCTTGAGGTTCATCTTCACCAAAGCCTGCTTCATTTTCTTCTGGATTTGAGCCAATTCTTGCTCCTTGACAGCTTTCTGCTGTCGCTGCACCAGCCGTGAGACTCTGGCTGTCGTGGTCATTCCTGTGATTTTGATTGTCATCGCTGAGGTGCTCATCAATCTTCAGCTGGGTGAAGCACGGTGTGTGAAGGCCAGCCTCAACGTCGGCTTCCCCAAAATGTCCAGCTCCTTCTCCACTGACACTGGCGCAAGTGTCTGCCAGTCCCTGATCTCTCTGAACACCCCACTCCATGGCCTGGGCATTGTCTGCTCTGCGGACACTGCATCCTATGGATCTGGTGGAGACTGGGATATTTACGTTGATGCCTTTATCATGGGCTTGCTTGGCTCCAGTTACCTGTGAGAGGTCGGTGTTGACCGCAGCATCAGAGCACTGCAGAGCCTCGCTGCTCCTCCTGGACGGTGGCTTGGACTCCTGGGTGTTTTCCTGGCACAGCTTCTCTTCCAGTTGAGCTTTGGATCTGGCCAGTAACTTAATGCTTTTCTCCTTCTCCTTGATCTCATGATCCTGCTGCTCCAACACTGCCTTGATCTGCTCCAGCTCTTCCTTCTTCTTGCTAAGCTGCTCCTCCAGAGCAGCAACCTGCTGCTTCAGAGCAGTGATGCTGCTGGGCTCTCCTGTGTCCTGAGGCTGAGAACCACAGCCCTCCTTGTCCTCTCCATCCTGGACACTCCCATCCTCACATTTCTCTAGCACATTCAGAGCAATTTCACTCACACTTAACTCCCCTTCCCCAGGGTTTGTGATATCCTCTGTAAGCTGGAGGGCATCTGGTGGGGCTGGTTCACCCTTGGCCAAGGCAGAGCAACCACTGGCCTCAGTTGCATCACCCTCCTCGCCTCCACTCTCCATCAGCACCTGCAGCTGCAGCGTGGTGGGATGTGGGCTGGGCCATGGAGAATGTACCTGCATCATCCCTGGGCTGCTCCTC